AAAGAATTCAATCCTTACTAGCTAGATGCAGACAATTGAATAAGGAGAATATGATTGTACTTTATCAAATTTAACACGAATTTGAACTTAACTGAACTAGAAATTAATTATAAGGAAATAAATAGCCACTTTCACAACAATACATTGAAAAAACATAAAAGGGTCAATACATTGATAACTCACTAATAAGTAAACATAGCATGTCGATCTACAATTCATATGATTGGTCTATATCGTTATAAAAATTTCTATACTATGATACCCACTAATAATTTATGTGGCTGATATTGAATTGATAAAATGAGATTAAAGTAGGAATGATTTAGAATCATACCAACGTTACCAAATTTGGTATAAAACAATCTTAATGAGACAAACTAAAAAGGAAAAATGAGACAATTTTAGTGGGACGGATGGAGTAGTATCATACATGGACTCTAATTTATTTTTATATCATATTTTTATACAATAACTATGTATATACACATTTCTCATGAATTATTTTAAAATAAATTATTTCATTTTTTATCCGTGCAACGCACGGGTGGATTGACTAGTGTTTATTTAAGCTAAAACTGAGAAGTGTTTTTTTAAACCATTGATAAAAACACTACCTAAGAGTATGGCTTTGTACAATTACATATGCACTTTAGTTAGGACAATAAAAACAAAAATTGATTGGATATAAAGGTCTCATAAAGCACCGCATAATAAGGACTTAAATACGAACTTTTACTCCTAATTTTCTCCAATTTACACGCTAATGGGGTCTAGAAAATTCAATAGGCATCTGATCATTGTTTACCCCTCATCACTTTATCTCTCTTATCTACTCCATCAACTCTCACCCCAAATCAGCCTGCCGATTCAACTCTTATTCATAGGTTTGCCGCACAAAAATATTACTAAAATAAATCTTATTTACATGAATATGACTATTAGTTACTAAAATGTGGTGTTATAGTAACTTAGTTTAAAAGTTGAACATAAGTTACTATAATTTCATTACGACTCTAGTCAATCACATTTTTATAAACGGACTTCATTTTAGTAATAAATATGAAGTATGTAATTATTTCTAATACATTTAACATTTTAATCATAAAAAGGATTTATGTAGTTTACTAATATCATTAATAATAAAATTAATTGATGTCCAAAAAGTCATTTAATAAGTTTTCAGGTGAATATAAACGACCATTTAACCAAACACCGATTTACAAACTGCTAATACTATCAGCTAATTAAAACAGCCAACAGAATCCGCTATCATCAATCATCTAAAACAATCAGCCAACAACCAACAACCAATTGTCAAACACCCCGAGTAGGGGGGAGGTAGGGGCAAGGGTGGGTACGTAGTGGGGTACGTTTTTTGAAAAATGCGAGTAGACATAATTTTATCTTCTAAAATGGTACTCCCTCCGTCCCATTTATATTGTCCCGGAAGGGTGACACGGTTATTAAGAAAAGTGGGTTTGTGTGGTTGATATTAATTGATAAAGTAAGAATAAAGTAAGAATGATTTAGAGCCACACAAACTTTGTCAAATATGATATGGGAGAATATAAATGGGACTTCCCGAAAAGATAAAACGGGACAAAATAAATGGGACGGAGGGAGTAGATATTACGGAGTATATTTTTGTTATTTTCTATTTTTTTTCTTTATTTTTTTAATAAAATATACGGAGTAACATACGATAGTACAGTCCAATATGATTTTCTCATATTCAAACCGATTAAATTAGTTTAAGAAAGATTCTAGAATGCCACTTATTTTCATTCTCACCCCCACTTTAACCTCAACCTTCAACTCAAACGACCTACCCTCCCTTATCTCTTCATTCTCTCTTAACAGATTGCATCCAAGTACGAATCGGAATCGGACGACGTCGCATATCCTCCATCGTCTCTGAAAGTCCTGCAGATCCCTTCGCCTCCGTGGTCTCGGAGAGTGCACCACCATATTTATCGGGCTTGTAGGATAATTTGAAAGAGTATGCAATCCAAAGGAAAACCACCCTGAGGAAGAAGAAGAAGAAGGTCGTTCCACTGTTCCGGCGGAGGAAGATCAAGAAGTCAATACACACTGTGAATTAAGAGCTACGAATTAGAGGTCTTCCCTGTTTGTAGGTATGTTGGTCTCACTTTCTTATCATATATGATCCCCTCACACTTCTTCTACTGTGCTTCTTAATTTGTGAAATATGACTTGATGCTAAATAAAGTATGACATAACTCAGAACTTTACTTTGATTTTGAAATATGACACTTCAATATGGCTAAACAAATGTGGCACTTCTTTGAACTTTAATTTGGCATGTGAAATATGAAACTTAATGATGAACCGCAATAAAACACTTCATTGAATTGTATTCCTATTTTCAACCTTGCTATATGTACCCCATTTTGTACCCCAACCTATTTGTGTGGCTCACAAAAGCCCACTTCAATAAATGAATTGCTCAACTTTAATGAGTTGCTTTTGTGAGCCACAAAAATAGGGTGGGGGTACAAATTGGGGTACAAATTGGGGTATCTCTAGCATTTTTGTCCTATTTTCGAACCACAAATCCAGGCAGGAAAGAAAAACTTTCGTATCCTTTATTCTTATTTACGATTTCAAATGGAATATAGATATATCTCTTTAGTATTCACCCCTTTGGGTAATTCTGGTTGTTGGAATTTGTATCACCCAACATAACAAAATATTTTACTTGAAATCTTTAAAGAATAAAGACTGTTTCTACATTCAATAAACCTCCTAATAATCAATAATTGTGTTGCAACAGATTTTGAAGCTGTTTTACTATATTCAGGAAGAGGATTTTTTTTTTCTATTCTAACTTTTTTCTTACTACACCTGAATGTGTGGGACGGTTGGGAGACTTTACTGTCTCATGTACTCCGTATTATTTTGAACGCAATCCACCCCAAACCCAACTCACCACCCATCTCTTTCTCTACTCTTAAACCTCTACAGCACAACACACAGACTCCGCACTCCACACACTCTACAGACTCGAAACTCATATCAACTTAAACGATGCACTTTCACTTGGCATCCTTACAGAGTACTGGAAAGATATGAAGATCCAGGAATGGACAACTGGTGAAGCCCACCATACCAACCACGCCATTTGAGGTATTGAAATCAGTAGCTTATTTATTACTCTATACTCCGTATTTCTTAAGCTTCAGTAAGCTGCTAACCTTTATGTTACCTTTTTAACAATAACCACGAATCATAGACCACATACCAACCATATTGAAAGAAATATTTGTTTCTTTTGCTATTTCAGCTTGATGTGCGGATGGATGTGAGAATTGTCATGCCGGTGTGTTTGTTTTATAGCTGAATGCAACTATGCTAAGGGCTGGAAATGAGATACATCAAATCTCATTCACTGTGCTCACCACCCATATCTACCAATAGAAATAAAGCAATGTAAATAGTGCATCAACAGTGCCGGCCTCTCTTTTGAACCAATAAGAATGCATCAAACTTTTAGGGCTCTGCACACCTCCTTTTTGCACCAATAAGAATTGCCTAATCACTAAACATCATCTGTTGCCCGAGCTATTATATTTACATGATAATTCATTTGTATTTATTTTGACTAATTAAAATAATAAAGTATTGATGTTGACATTTCTTGGAGGGAACCCTATTCATCAAAAATCTTTTGCTTTTATATTAAGATAGATAGATTTGGTATGAGTAAACTAGACTTGGTGAATAAGATGCTAAAAAAATTTCATCAAAAAATTCCACCGGGAACTGCTCCAAATTGCGACGGCCGGACAGAACCTCCTATAGACGGACTTAATTGACCTTTTTAATAAAGTTCGAGGACCTATTTGACAGTTTTCCCTTTGTGTAATAGACAAATGGAAAGCATTTACAACACTCACCCACTTTCAACTTTCATTTTATGATCGTAAAAAAAAATAGTAAAACGTTGTCATTTGAAACCTTCAATAGTTGTATCTCGTTCAACCAGAAGGCTTGCATCTCGTTCATGTTGTCATTTGAAACCTTCAATTTACTGTTTGTAAAGCTGGAAAATATTTTTTGCGATCTTTTGCGCTTTCTACGGAAGTGTTTGCGATTGCTTCTACTTTAAAAATAATATTTTAAATGATTTTGGGAAAAGTGCTCAATAGTAAAAGTTGATAGTGTTTCAGAAAAAAATGATTATGAAAAAATAAGTTAGTAGTTTTTAATAAAATGAGTGTTTTTTGCGTCATAGAAAAAGTGAAAAGCAGTTTAAAGCACATTTCAACCTGCTTCAGTTTTTAGCTTCTAAGTGATTAATTAATTTAAATACAAATTGTCACTTGAAAACACAAATTTCAACTTTTTTAAAGTCCAAAATTCAAAAGTGCTTTTTTAAATTTTTTGCACACTCCTTACAGAGGCTTGAAGCAAAACTATTGCGTGGAATCTGGTCCGAGGTTTGAACATCTCTCAATTTTGTCAAATTGAAATGTATAAGTGGGACGAGTAATTCTTGATGTACACAAAATTTGTACAGAAATTGTATATTGTTTATGTATATTTGCATTTTGACATAAGATTCTGCTCTTTTTTAAACGAATTATTTGTGTACAACGACAACTAAGAGGATGTTTATAAGTTATACTAGTTTTATTACGCCCGATGTGCGACAAGAAAATGCCCAATGTAATTTATGAAATATTAATATTAAGATTATTTACGTAGTATTATTTTCTTGACACTATTTGTATAAAATCGCAAATACCAGACCTTTTGACTTAGTAAATTATAATTGATTAAATTAATAGAAATATGTTGGGAATCTGTCGGGAATAGAACAAGATTACTATTGGCAATGAAACACTGCAGAATGGCATACTCAATTTGCCAGTAATCTTGTTGGGAATCTGTTTGTGCCACAATAATCTTGTTTTGCCAATGACATTTATCAATTTTTTAGTCATACACGTCATAAACACAAAACTAACATTTTCTTTTTCCAAGCAGGTGCATGAATTTTGGATATTCTGGTAAATGACTGTTTGACAACATATTTGGATACTCGTATTCATCTGTTTAAACTTTTTCACAAATCACTATATCAGTAAGGATGTAGAATGCAATCAAATTCAGTCAGAATTCACTGGCTAAAACAGAAAAAGTTAGCATAATGGTTTGGAAACAAGTTCCTATGGACTGATTATGGGACATGAACTTTTGGGTGAATTTAAGATGACCAAGTGTGGTCTAATTGAGGGTATTGAGGAAGGGAACTACTTTCCTAAGCATTTTGGAGCTTTTGCCACCCGTGGTAGTAGTGATGATCCAACGCATGATATAGTGCATCACACTTATAAAGAGAAAACTCAACCGTAGATCATTTGGTGGTGTCTTGAGCAGGACTTCAAGTTCCTCAACAAACTAAAGGGGAGTTCGGGACTTTGGGAAGCAGTTCCCTCTGAAGATCCATTTAACCACGTGTGTCATAAACTTGCACTTGAAAAGCAAACCTACTGCAACACCAACACAACATCAGCACATCATTGTCATTAGGTAACTATGTTGCACATATTTTAAACCTTTAAACCTCGTCTAGCTTTACTGCAAAATCTCACAAGGGAGTTGATTTACTTTCAAATAATTATTGTTAAAAATGCAAACTATAGCTTTCTGCCTCTATAACTAATGTTCAAATCCAGAAATTAAATGCTAAAATAATATTTTTTATTCAATATGACGCCTTACATTAGGGGTTGAAATTTAGTATAGGGGTAAGAGTGCGTACATCCGACCCCCTCTTATCTCACCGTAGGTGGGAGGTTACGGCACTGGAATATTGATGATGAGCAAGGTGCAACTATTAAAATAATCAATCTTAAGTCCTGGTGCGACCCTTCTTTTGTAACTATATACAATTTTAGCTACTAGTGTGTGTTGGTTTAATCAAGATACTCAGGAGTTGTTTGGGACACTTTTTTGAAAAAATACAACATCCAAGCCTTAATCCCAAACATGCTTTATTGATTTTGGGAAAAAAATAATATGGAGAAAAATATATAAAAAAAATAGTTTCTTTTGTTCAAATCAAATTCTTTTTTGCGACAGTAATAAGTTTTCGAATAGGATTTTTTCCTTATGGGGGGAGATGAAAAAGGACGATGCACTCAGATAAAAGTAATTTCATCTTAGGAATGTCAGAAGTTCACACATGTTATGGGCTTATGGCATATATCAATTCAGACAGCTACCAAGACGGGTGTCGTATGGCCAAGCCTGCTTGAGGTGCTTCTGGGTGGAATTTTTTATGAAATTTGTGAACATGTACTTCATGAAGTGTAGATTATGTCCACAAAATTTCACATTAAATTTCAATCGGGAAGTCAGTTAAGTTAAAGATTTGAAAACACTGGGCAAAAATATGCATAAAAAACGCAGTGTTTTTTAACAATTTATTTAAATAACTTCCCGATATAATTTTAAGCTGAAATTTTGTGGACACATCTACACTTCATGAAAAACACGCTCACAAATTTCATCAAAAAAGTCCACCCGGAATCACCTTAAACGAGCTCGGCCGTACAGCACTTCTGGTCAGTCCGGTTGTATGTGAATATTTCTCTTGGTCTGTATTGTCTAACTTTTCAGATGTTAACATTCAAGAAATTAATAATAAGACAAAACGGCTTAAGAGCAAAATATCAAGAAACTCAAGAAGGAAAATACTAGTACACGAGCTAAAAGCATTTAGTGTCTTTAATCACATGACAGAAAAGCATAATAATATTTATATTAATCAAGTTCGAAGATAAATAAGGTAAGAAAATGGACCTAGTAGTTTTAAGCGAAAGCGTTTGTATATGGGGCTGGCACGATTAACCTTGAAGTCCATTTCTTCAAACATTTTCAACTGTGGCCCACAGGATAGAAAAATTACTAAAAATTCAAGTCACTGAGAAGCTGCTAGAAACATGCATAAGACAAATGAGTTGTGAGGTAATAAATCACCTGATCTACAAAACCATCATTTGGGCAAACAGATTTGCAGCTTTGAAGAGATTCAATGGCATCTTCAGGAGAAAAGAAGCAGGAGATGTTAGTCTGAGTGAATGGGAATAATAAACATAAATGATAGGCAATTTGTCTTCTCTTTCAAGAAATATCATAAATACGATGTGAAAAGACCCACACATATTGAAGTTTAAAATAGGGATAATTGGAATTTTAGCCTCTATCATTATGTAATTTGGGACTTGTATTATGGAAATTGTAAAGATAGTTCCTCTATTCTTATAAATAGATATAATTAGTCCCTCCTGTTAAAATCACTGTTTACAGTATTAAGTTCTCTTGGGCCATCTCAGCAACATACCATGACGAATGCCTCGATAAACCTTTAGGGTTTGGTTTGGGGTTTATGAGGGGAGGGCAGGGGTTTATTTTTAAAAAATGTTTGGACTTTTAGATGACTAAAAAAAGTAAAGATAAAAGCTGTATAATAAGAATACATAATACTAACCATATAGTTATTTCTACTCTGGAACTAACAAATAGAGTTAAATTTATAAAATAAAAATTAATCTCCCCTCCCTCCAAAATCCCCATGCCAAACAAGCCCGAAAGGTATAAAAATTTTATGGAACTATATTTACTAAAGAATTTGTCATACTGTCAAACCATTGGGGACTAAAAGTGTGTTTTTCCTATATAGTACCTTTATATGACAGCTGTTCAGATCTCATCAAGTATGCTATAACCACGGCTGCACTATAGAAGATGGAAAGAAGGGTGTTAATCCCCAGGGATTGTCATAGTTGTCAAAGCAGGATGGGAGAATATGTATGCGTCAAGAAAGAATGTTCTAATTGGAAGAGCTATGAGAAAATAACATGAGGGTGATAAGAGAAGCAAAGTGCAACAGATTTGGCACGCATTTACTGAATAGGCACATATGGAAAATGTAAACTCCTAATCAAACAATCCTCATCCTCAATACAAAATTTAAAGTGCTTGCTTCCGATGTTTCTTTGGTGAGAGATGAGATGAAACTGCACCATTCATTGGGCCGAACAACTAACATGTTTAACAACATAAAGTATTAACCTTAATTAGAAAAACTAGACAAATTCTTCCCAATAAGGAAAATTTGAACAAATAGCCAAAATATGACAACTAAGGCTGTGTTTGGATCTTGGAAAATGATATGGAAAGGGGGGAAATAATAATGAAAGTTATTTTTTGTGTTTGGATTTACCTACGGAAATGCAAAGGAGAATGAAGTCCGATTGATGTTTTTAATTATTTTACATATGTTTATAGATTGCATAATATTTATATGATATATATAAACAAATAATGAATTCAAACAAATGTTGAAAATAAATTTATTGAGTTTGAGAAAAAGTTTTATTTCCTCAACATTTGATTTGCTCCATAATTTCATTCCCTGGCATTTTCTACATTCCATATGAACCCCAACGGAAAAGAAATAAATTTTTTCAAGAACAGACCAAATGCTATGTACCGCCAAAACACGATAGAAAATACTGTGTTAACATTTTATAATGTGTGACTACATGATATTGCTTTCCCTATGATCTCGAACAACAAGATGGACAACCAAGAAACTCATCACAAACACACTTTTGTCACAACTCACAAAGTAAGTGAGTCAACTAAAAAAATCTTTTGTCATCAGAACTCAGAAGAAATAATAAACATGTCACATGGACTAACATGCAAATAAAGCTCATAGGGGCAAGACAACTAATAAAATGTGGTTGTCCATCAACTTTATACTTAAGATACAGATTGTGACAAAACAAAATTTTGAACTTATGGTGCCATGGTGGGACACTTTAATATTTATTAGTTCCAACTTTTAAGATGGCCAAATACCGAAGTTGACCCTGAACTTTCAACAACGCTTGATCCCGAACTCCTCAAGTGTCCTATTTAGCTCCTAAACTGACTAAAAATGACTTAACGATGATCATAAACTTTCAAAATAAATTCTAATTGGCTTCAAACATGCTCTGCAATCTGCACACAAGCATCTCAAACACAATAGATAAATTAGGAATTTCAATAAAGGTATATCCGAAGCAGACCAGCTACAATAATAAACATACTTCATAGATCCAAATAATTCAGCACAAAGCATATCAACAGTTTCGACTTTGGAATTATAATGTTTTCTTTAACCACTGCAATAGTTCTTGTTGTTGCTATTGAGTAATAGTACTAAGACTAGAGGCCTATGGGCTATGGGACACTCGATACTTTGGGGCCAATTTTGACTTTTAATTGAAATATTAAGTTCATTTTGGGATATTTGGCCAATAACAATACATCAACATAGTACCAGCTTTATCTTTAGAAACAATGGTCTCTTTTATCTTGATAGACTAAGGTATAAGCCTCAAAATGAATATAACTTCAGACATAAACAGACATAAATTTTAATAGGCACCTTCTTGAGCCACCAGCAAAGCAATGCACAAGTATACACCCTTGTTTTCTACTTTCTTCAATGAAATCCAAACACACCTCCAGATAATCCAGCAGATTCTCCGTCTCCAAATCTCTTAAAGATACTGCCATCCTCACAAACTTTAGATCTTTCCCAGCATACTCCAATGAGTATAGAAGCTTCCGGGATGATAGAGAAGTGTTTGGCTCAGCAGTGCCATTATCTCTGAAATAAGCCTTGTGAATCTCCTTGGTAGGGATCACAACTTCACTACGCCAGAAAGTTGAAAATGAAGGCGAACTAAGAACTGATAATATATGTGTAATTTGTTCGCTGCCTTGTTGAAGAATCTCAGCAGCATCATTTATGTTACCAATCAACAGATTTTCTCGAACCTGATAAGGCATATCCCCCTGTCTGAACCTAAATGCCTAATCTGAATATGAAAATGTCTCTATCTATTAATATCTTAGAGAAAACACAATATCTATTGACAATGTAAATATATTAGAGAGAGATAATGAGAAATTACCACCTCTGTTATCAACACCAAATCTATTTACTAAATTTAATTTACCATGTATCCAGGTTCTAGAATATTACTGAACTCCAATAATTAAATTATACTCCATATAATGAAATACGCCACTCACTCAATCGAGAATCCCCATCCAAATGATCAAGCAAGAATTTACTCCACGCCTTTTTATTACTCATTGTTTATATGGTGAAGAAATAGAATCAAGCATCAATGAGTCCCTACATGTTGACTTCCACGAAGATGGTGAAATAGAGATCAACTAAAATACCTCAGGAAGCAGAATATTCCGGCAGGTAGCGGCGCCACCGGGACGGCGTCAACTTTTTCGGGGAAGTCGAGTCTGCTCTGTCGCTCAAGTGGCAGTTTTTCGAGTAATTCTATTGTGGAATTGGAATAAAAACAGCTAAGGAAAAAGGGTCACATATGAGTGCATATATACTACTAAAAATCAATCATCTAGGTCCTTTGATCGGAAGTTAACCCAATACCAGGTTAGGTTAGAGGCTCTTTTTTATTGTACTTTTCCTTTTCTTCTATCTTGCTTCACGATTAAGTCTTTGTTTTTTGCTTTCCTTGTCACTCTTTTTTGGTTTCTGCTCCATTGTAACCCACTACCCATAGTCTCATTCGTTTTCTTCTTCTATCTTATCAATTGCTAACATTTTTTTTAACTTTCTGGTTTACCCTTATTTCTTCTATTTGTTGTCTTCCTCAAAATTTCCTCTAAAAATATTAGTTCAAACTAATAAATGAGTAATATCTATATCTATATATATATAGATATAAAAGCACAATCGTGCAACATGCTGAACAATTCTGACCATGGATGTATAACACGTGTCAAATTATATTCTACCACAGAACAATCACGATACATTGTTCTGAAACGTGTTCAAATTTGGAAACGTGTCACACACTTATTGGATAAAAACTGTACACGTATGGGAGTTATACTATACACGTGGTACATCATTGTGGAACTCTAACTAATACGGAGTAACTGTTAATGATTGTTGAACACGTACATGCATGGCACTCCATTATCTTGGCAGTTCCCATACCTCAACTGGCACGTATGGAGTTATGCGTCTACAACGGTTTCAACGATCCATTTGCAAAATGATTGACAGAAGCATTATAAATAGCACCAAGCAGAAGAGGGTGAAATCTGCACAAATTCAGATATACGTATCACTCTTAATAACTCCACCACAAATATTCCTAATGTTCTTTCTCAAGTAAAAAACTACTCTGTATATTTCGCAATAAACTATTACTTCGTACTATTTATGCTTCCAATTTTCGGTTTCAGAGTATCTAGAGTTGTGAAGTTGTTCAACAGAATCCAAGAGCTAAATACCTGTAAGACAAACTGCCAATGCAACATTTATCCTTTGGGGTAATGTTTGCCAAGAACTTTTTGAGAAAAAAGCAGCAGAGTTTGTGGCGGAAAGGTATGAAATCATGTACTGTATATTTGTTTCTATAATTTAAGGAGTATATTTTGAAACATCATTGATGATTGACCATTAAATAGAAAGATGATGATGGGTTTCCCATAGAAAGATTGCAAAAAAAGGTGATAATGCCTTGCTCAAGTTCAAAAAGATGGGTCAAAGCGACGGGACTTCGCTTTTAGCATTCTAAAGCTGAAACAAGAAGCGAGTGTTACGAGAAACTGGGGAAGCTTTGAACACCAAGGTCAACATGTATGAACTATTTTGTTTTTTACATTCTTTTATTCTATTTAGACAAAAAAAATCTAACATATATACTACGTATTTGTTAAAATTATAGGACTCATAGTCTGTTTGCAACAACTTATGCTTTAAAAAAGAGCTTTTTTTAATGAAAAGGGAAGATGTGATTAAATAAAAGTTGATAGTGTTTGAGAAAAAAGTGATTTTGAAATGTAAAAGTTGGTACTGTTTGGTAAAATAAGTATTTTTTGTGTAATAGAAAAAGTATAAGCATTTTTGACATGAAAGCCGAGAAAAATAAAAATTGGTAATGTTTTGGTAAACTAAGTGTTTTTTAAGCCAAAAGATGAGAAGTGCTTTTTCTAAAGCATTTGCAAACCAACCCTCAGTGTCCTGTTCTGACACGGGAATGAGCAGATTCAGAGCATATTGATCTTACTGTAAATGATACTTTAGGCTCAAATGAGGTGTTGACTGTTGAGGAGGGACTATGGCGTTTACTCGGTTAATTAGTCCACAACATTTGCATTCCTAGTTTCTTATTTCCTACCTAAGTGTTATGTCGGAATATCATTTTTTGGTAATCTTAGATAGATAGATAGATAGATAGATAGATAGATAGATAGATAGATAGATAGATAGATAGATAGATAGATAGATAGATAGATAGATAGATAGATAGATAGATAGATAGATAGATAGATAGATAGATAGATAGATAGATAGATAGATAGATAGATAGATAGATAGATAGATAGATAGATAGATAGATAGATAGATAGATAGATAGATAGATAGATAGATAGATAGATAGATAGATAGATAGATAGATAGATAGATAGATAGATAGATAGATAGATAGATAGATAGATAGATAGATAGATAGATAGATAGATAGATAGATAGATAGATAGATAGATAGATAGATAGATAGATAGATAGATAGATAGATAGATAGATAGATAGATAGATAGATAGATAGATAGATAGATAGATAGATAGATAGATAGATAGATAGATAGATAGATAGATAGATAGATAGATAGATAGATAGATAGATAGATAGATAGATAGATAGATAGATAGATAGATAGATAGATAGATAGATAGATAGATAGATAGATAGATAGATAGATAGATAGATAGATAGATAGATAGATAGATAGATAGATAGATAGATAGATAGATAGATAGATAGATAGATAGATAGATAGATAGATAGATAGATAGATAGATAGATAGAGGGCTGAGCAAAACCCGACCCGACCCGAAAAATCCGATACTTTTTTCGGATATTATCCGAACCGAAGTGGATATCCGACCCGAAAAACCCGAAACCAAAAATCCGATTAATATTGGGCCTAGTACGGGTGGTGGGTAGGGTTTGTAAAATCTCAACCCGACCCGCCCGAATATCCGAAATATATGTTAGTGTGTACTTTGAATATGTTACATTAATACTTGTGTTCAACTACTTGTGTAATTATTTGTGCAATTTGTATTAAATTATTTGTGTAAATTGAATGTGTAGTGCACTAGTGTGTATAATATTTGTCAATGAGGCATTCCAACACTTTAATTATCCAATTTTAATGTGTTTTAATATAACCGAAATATCCGAAATATATTAAATTATGTAGTGTGTACTTTGAATATGTTAAATTAATACTTGTGTTCATATTATTTGTGTAATTATTTGTGCAATTTGTGTTAAATTATTTGTGTAATTTGGATGTTTAATGCACTAGTGTGTGTACAATTTTTGTCAAAGTGGCATTTAAACACTTTAATTATCCATTTTTTTATATAACCGAAATATCCGAAACCCGACCCGATATCCGATAATATCCGACTTAAAAATATCCGAAATACCCGATTTGAAATATAAAAGGGTCGGGCCTAGTATTTAAATTTAAAACCCCGAACGGGTTTAGGGTTTGCAAACCCGACCAGCCCGAACCCGACCCGTGCACAACCCTAGATAGATAGATAGATAGATAGATAGATAGATAGATAGATAGATAGATAGATAGATAGATAGATAGATAGATAGATAGATAGATAGATAGATAGATAGATAGATAGATAGATAGATAGATAGATAGATAGATAGATAGATAGATAGATAGATAGATAGATAGATAGATAGATAGATAGATAGATAGATAGATAGATAGATAGATAGATAGATAGATAGATAGATAGATAGATAGATAGATAGATAGATAGATAGATAGATAGATAGATAGATAGATAGATAGATAGATAGATAGATAGATAGATAGATAGATAGATAGATAGATAGATAGATAGATAGATAGATAGATAGATAGATAGATAGATAGATAGATAGATAGATAGATAGATAGATAGATAGATAGATAGATAGATAGATAGATAGATAGATAGATAGATAGAAAATAGAGATGTAATTGTTTCTAAAGATTCTTTTATCTCTGACTCATCAATATGCTTATTCTTAAAAAAATAAAGATGCAAATTATTTCTAAAGATTCTTTTATCTCTGACTCATCATATGCTTATTCACATATTCTTTTATTCTGTGAACACCCATTAAAGGTTTCCATTGAATTTTATGAAATAATTTACGCTTTTTAATCACACATTAGTTTCTCTTTCATACTCATTACACGTCAAGTCTCACATTTACCCTCCCCCAACTTATCTCTCTTTAGTTATTCACTTTATGAACCCGTTTGGTAATAACCAAATCTGTTGTATTGGCTAATTCTGCTAAATTTGATGAAGTTCTTGCTGATATGGTTGTATTGGCTGATTTTACTGATTTGTGAAAAATAATAATTTAAAATGCATTTTATTAATAAAATAAAGAAAAAATTATATGAAAAAAGCTATAATTACCCTCTACAGTAACTTCAGCTAATACATCCAGAAAAATTACTGCAACCTTACTTTTTCTTATTATTACACAATTCAGCCCGTAAAACCAAAAGTTACGTGTTTGGTGAAAAAGTTGATTTATAAGCCTGAAAAGCCAAAAATCATGACTACCAAACGGGCACTATATGTTTACTTTTTCTAAATTTTCTCTTTCCTGTTTTTTTAACCCAAATTACTTTATTCAACTACCTAAAAATCACGTCATTTACTCACGGGAACCTGCCAAAGGGATGGAGGGAGGAGTATATATGAATTTTACGACTGACATTTTTTATGGCATAACTTTAGAGACAAAAAATATTTAAGTGCGACAGATTTTGAAAGTGTGTAGAAAAGTGTAATTTTTTTTACTGCATATAAAGTTATATTTTCAATCATGTCAAAATATAAAAATTAGCATTGTTAATTCAAATTTAATGCTCCGTATCAAGGACTACATTTCAACAAGAGTAATGACTGAAAATTTGAAAGTGATATTCCGCCAAAAACAAAAGAATCTTGAGAAGCAATTTTGACGTGCACTTTGTCGTGGTGTGCACTCAAAATAATAATACAATACAACAATTATACGTAGTATAATGAAGTAAGGTTCGTATCCACGGGGAAAGGAATACTTCTCTCTTTATAAACTAGTAACAAGGGGGGGTTTAGATTGAGTAAATGAACTTAAATTATATTTAAACACGAAGATGAACGAGTTATGTGGTTTAATTAATAAGGAGACTTGGCTTTGCTTTTATCCACTTAATGAAATGTTCGCCGATCCCGGTTATATCTTTAACTATCTTCCTCTCGAATACTCAATCGAGGAGTATATCCAGTTCATCGAGGGTAGTTATTAATAACGAGATGCGTTCATTAATAAAACTTACTATCGAGTCAATATAGAACAAGCGCCGTATATTAACTTGATAGTAGCAATAAACTTAAGATGAAAACGATTGAGATTGATAACCTCAACACAAGCGGTTTATTGGTTTAATCAATATAATTAATTCCTCTTGGCTTATTAACCATGAGAAGCATGCATTAACAACCCAAATTTACTACCATTGAAAGAACCGAATTAATAACAATCG